TAAAACGACAACATCTGTCTATACTATTCCAGGAACATAGATGACGTGATCCGACGTGCTAACGGGACTGAGTACGGTCTGGCGAGCGGCGTGTTCACTCGTGACGTGTCGCGCGCGCTGGCGGCCGCGGAGCGCGTCGACGCCGGCACTGTCTTCATCAATACATACAACAAGACAGACGTCGCTGCGCCCTTCGGTGGCTTCAAGCAATCCGGCTTCGGCAAGGATCTAGGTAAGTGTAGAATTTACATCTAGCTTCTAGGTAAAGATATTTCTTTTACCTTTATTTGCCTAGATTTGCCCTCCTATGTACAGTCAGCGTCATATAGATCGTAACAGACAAGATATGCAAATATATAGGTACACCAAAAGTAATCAATTATATCGGTACAACAAAAGTCCTCAAAATAATAGATACATTCACCCTGCTCAAATACATCGGTACATACACAGCGTCAAATATATGAGTACATGCAAGATGCTCATAAATATCGTAGCAGCCACAGCGTCATAAGTAACGAAGCAGTCAAGGTGCGCAAAAATATCGGTACATTTGACAAAATTGAACTCTATCTCTATATACTTGTGATACAATTTGGAATAAACTACTGCTGTTACATTCATTTGACACTTTGCATCAAACCATTTTTCAAAATTTACTAAAAGTGTTCGACGCGGATGACAGATATTAGGTAGATAAAACCAACATCAAATTTAAGTTTGTCATCATATATGCTAGTTTGGTCTCGTGGCCTTACCGTTCGCCGCCGTTGGTACGTAAGTTCGGCGGTTCAAATCCCAAGCAACTATTTTTTTTTATATTTAAACTTTTTAATTTTAATATCGAAGCACATTTAATTAAACTCTATCGCCGTAGTTATTAGGTACTTTTTGATATATTTGACGCTGTGTATGTACCGATGTATTTGAGCAGGGTGAATGTATCTATTATTTTGAGGACTTTTGTTGTACCGATATAATTGATTACTTTTGATGTACCTATATATTTGCATATCTTGTCTGTGACGATCTATATGACGCTGACTGTACTTCTCTAGTCTTCAAAGTCAATGATCAGGAATTTTAAATTAAGCGCCATCTATATTTTGCTATCAACAACTAATAGTTCTATACTTATAAGTCGATATTATAGAAAATTCTAATGAAATGTTCTTATTTTCAGGTCAAGAAGCTCTCAACGAGTACCTAAAGACGAAATGCATCACCATTGAATATTAAATTAAGAACATTTTGTTTTTATATTGAATTATGTTATTTTTTACATGTTGTATATATTATGTATAAAATATTTGGTTATGAATCAATGATGTTTTGTATGACTGAAAAATCTTTAGTAACTTTTTCCACTTGCAACACTGTCGCTTGACTAGACGCTCTGTGGAAATAGATACTAGATTTATTGCATAATAAATATATTTTTTATTACAACACGTTTTTATAAATTGCCTCTTACATAATTCCTTATGTTGTATAAAATACGTATACAAAATTAAAATGAAATCTCGATTTTTGAAAATGAATATATATAGTACTAGCGGACCCGACATACGTTGTCCTGTCTACACGTCTTTAATTTGAATAAATTAATATGAAGTTAATAAATGATGAAAATTGTGAATCTAAACCATTCCCAGATCCCCTTGAACACACACAAAAAATTTCATCAAAATCGCTCCAGTCGTTTGAGAGAAGTTCAGTGACATGCACACTCACAGAAGAATTATATATATAAAGATATATATTGCCTTGAATATGAAAATAAAACAAGGTTAATCATAAAACTAAATATGCTTTATTTCACATTGTGTCAATAGTCATTGGTCACAAAGAAGTCAGCTCCGACAGCGCGGCTTGTGACGACGCCGCGATATAAAATATATCAAGTCAACAACAATCCCCTCGCCGATACAAATTACATTAAATAATACAAAAAGTGAAATTAATTTAACACGAATCTTTTATAGCCAAAGACAATGTCCGATCCTTAAGATCCAAATTGAATGAAACACTGTACAAGAATTATTCGATAGCTTTTCAAAAACATTAATCTGCAATCTCTTTTTGAATCAATCATCAAGAAAACAAGCTCGAATATTATCTTAAGGCGTCAACATGGAA